CAAAAATCAAACAGAAAAAAAGTTAACCTGAGCCAAAAGGATGGAGTTTTTGTTCTAAAATTTTTTTAAATATCTTTACAACCATTCATAAACATTAAGAATATGATGATACAATTTTATTAAACATTTATTTATGTATTTGAAAGGCAAAGTTGAAGATGGGGGAAGGGGAGAGAGGAGAGAGGGAATTGTCCATCTGCTGGTTCACTCCCCAGATGCCCGCAATGGTTGGGGCTGGACCAGGCAGAAGCCAGGAGCCTGGAACTCTATCCAGGTCTCCCATGTGGGTGGCAGGGCCCAGGTACTTGAGGCACCACCTGCTGCCTCCCAGGGTGTGCATCAGGAGGAGGCTGGGCGGGAAGTAGAGCGGGGACTAGGAGCCAGGCGCTTTGAAATGGAATGCAGGTATCCCAAATGGTTTCTTACCTGCTGTGCCAAGCTCTATGTCCCATTTATTTCTCTCTTGGTGCCAAAAATATTTGGAGTGACATACAAACAAACATATGTGAAACTAGAATGTTTAAAATAAATTGATATATTGGGGCCGGTGCTGTGGCACAGCGGGTTAAAGCCCTGGCCTGAAACACCGGTATCCCATATGGGTGCCAATTCTAGTCCTGGCTGCTCCTCTTCCGATCCAGCTCTCTGCTATGGCCTGGGATAGCAGTAGAAAGTGGCCCCTACATCTGTGTGGGAGACCCGGAAGAAGTTCCTGGCTTTGGATCGGCGCAGCTCCAGCTGTTGTGGCCATCTTGGAAGTGAACCAGCAGATAAAAGACCTCTCTCTCTGCCTCTACTGCTCTCTGTAACTCTGCCTTTTAAATAAATAAGATAAATCTTTAAAAAATAAAATAAATTGATATATATATGATGCTGTTAAAGTCCGAAGATAAATGTGTCATGAGTGGGGGCAAATAGGTGCCCTGGCCCCAGTAGTGCAGCTCCCTGAAGGTGTATTTCCAGTGTGTGTGTCAGGGAAGTGCAGTGCAATGAACTGTCAGCAGCTCATCCTAGTAAAGGCATCAGAGTACATACATAGGCTGCAGCACAATTGTTCACAAACTTTTTTTTTTCCAATTGTGAAAATCTGAGGACTTTTACTAGGAAATATTAGTTATTCTGAAACTTACAATGACTTATTATGATTTAGATTTTCTTTTTTTTTAACTTTTATTTAATGAATATAAATTTCCAAAGTACAGCTTATGGATTATAATGGCTTCCCCCCCATAATTTATTTATTTGAAAGGCAGACTCACGAGAGGCAGAAGTAGAGAGAGAGGTCTTCCTTCCGCTGGCTGGCTTCTCAAATGGCCTCAATGGCTGGAGCTGAGCCTTTCCGAAGCCAGGAGCCAAGAGCTTCTTCTTGGTCTCCTTTGTTAGTGCAGGAGCCCAAGGACTTGGGCCACATTCCTCTGCTTTCCCAGGAGCATTAACAGGGAGCTGGATTGGAAGTGGAGCAGCCAGGACTCAACCGGCGCCCATTTGGGGTGCTGGCACTGCAGGTGGTGGCTTTACCTACTATGCTGCAGTGCCAGCTCACTGCAGGTGGGGGCTTTACCCACTATACCACAGCACTAGCTCCCTCTCTCTGGTTTTTTAAGAAATCAGAACTGACTGAAGTCTTACTTGAGTGGGGCACAGCTCGTCACCTGCTGCCTTCCAGGTGTGTGTATTAGCAGGAAGCTGGAATAGAGGGCAGAGCTGGGACACTCGATATATGGGACACAAACGTCCCAAGTGGTGGCTTATGTGCTATGCCAGATGTCCACGCCTGATATTGCAGTGTTGAGTGTCAGTAAGATTTTGGGTTTTCTATTCTCCCCCAGTCAGTGTTTATTTAAATTTAAAGGTTTTCCTTGTTTCTTTGTTCTTTTCTTGTGTATTGTTTGTTTTTGGATTTTTTTTTAAATTCTGGATATATATCTTTGAGTAATTCTTTTACCAGAAACTGAAGGAAACAAATTTTTTGTGTCCTTGAACATCCAAAAATGTCTGTATTTCACTCTCCTATATGAACAAGAATTTGGGTAGATGTAGAGTTCTAGGTTTAAAGTACATTCAGTTGTCCATGACCCTTTGTTGAAAAGGCAGTTCATTCACCAGTGCGTAGTCTACATTCTGGACTACAAATGTTTGGGTTTACTTCTTGTCTCTCACTTCTCTCCCATTGATCTTGATGTCCATCCTTTGGCCAGGAACACAGTGATTTGACTACTGTATCTTTGTTGCAAGTTTTGGAATCACTAAGTGTGTGTCTTCCACCTTAGTTCTCTTTCATGATTTGTTTTGTTATTCAGGGTTCCTTGTGTTTCCATATGAAGTTTTCCGATTAGCTTGTACATTTCTGCAAAGAAAAAGAGAAGTTGGAATTTTAATAGAAGTTGCTAAATTTTTAATATACTGTCTCCTTTTCGTATTTCGGTCTTGTCTTTCTGCTCATTCATCTTTGAGAGTCCTAACTTGTTAGCCCTCCTGTGAGTGCTGTATTGACTTTACGTTGCCGCAGGTCCCCGCTGACTGGGTAGGTGTGGAATGTGTGTGATTTGTAACCATTGCCAGCCTACTTCAGTGACTGTCCCCTCTTCTGCTGGGTCTGATATCCACACAGGCCTTGTCCTGTCAGCTCCAACTGTTCATACTCAGTGTTCCCACCTAGTGAGTAACACCTTTGCTGTTAGTTGCCACTGTGACATCTGGGAGCAAAATCCTCTATTCTGTAGCACTTGACTCAGAGGTGGGTGGGTGGAGATGGTTCCTGCTCTTTCACTTCCTGCTACCTCCTAACCTGCCATGCTGAATGTTTTGTAAATTGTTTCAGTTCTTCCGTGGTCTTCTGTCTCTAACCTTCTTTTCACCGCGTGGCCGCCTCTGCACTGATCTGTAGGACTGTGGTTTACTTGTGTAGCCTGATTCTATCAGCTTTCTATCTTTCAAAATCCTTCATAGCTTTAGTCCAGTCAGGGCATCTCTTGGTTTCTTTTGATTATGGGTTTTTGAAGAAATGTCTGTTATTTGGGAGACTTCAAGGGAAGACGAGCTGACTTACCATCTCAATTGAGTAAATGACTATTTAATAAAGAAGAGAAAAACTTTTAACAGCTAGCCAGAAAATAAACTGTTGATGAAATTATTGAATAAATTACATTTTTTGTTTAGAAGGTTGCTTTTTTTTTTTTTTAAAGATTTATTTATTTATTTGAAAGCGTTAGAGAGAGAGAGAGAGAGAGAGAAAGAGAGGGACAGAGAAAAAGGTCTTCCATCCGCTGGTCCATTCCCCAGTTGGCTGCAACGAAAGGCTGGAGCTGTGCTAATCCAAAGCCAGAAGCCAGGAGCTTCTTCTGGGTCTCCCACGTCGGTGCAGGGGCCCAAGGATTTGGGCCATCTCCCACTGCTTTCCCAGGCCATAGCAGAGAGCTGGATCGGAAGTGGAGCAGCCAGGACTTGAACTGGCGTCCATGTGCAATGCCGGCACTGCAGGTGGCAGCTTTACATGCTACACCACGCCAGCGCCTGGAAGATTGCTTTTTAAGCAGTTGCTAAAAAGATAGGCAGTTTGAGTATATAAAAATGAAAACACTGAACAAAAGTTCAGACCAGGAATATATTTAAATAAAATTGAAAAGGATTGCTCTCTCTCTCTCTCTCTCTCACTATAACTCTACCTGTCAAATAAATAAATTAAAAAAAATTGAAAAGGATTATTTATTTTATAATAAGAACAAACAGGTTTCTCTTTGTTTCGTTCTTTGGGTGAAGAAGAAGCCATGAAGGATGAAGTCAGTGCCTCTGTTGCCTCAGTCGTCTCCAGAGTCAGCATCAGCCTGTGCCTGTGGTGCAGTCACGCTGGTCGCTGAGAGCGGTGTGCCAGAGGTGTTTGACAGGTGCCCCGAGAAAGCAGGAGAAAGTGTATCTGATTCAACTTTGGTTCAGTAATGCTCAGTGTTACTGGCTGTTAGTGTAATTTTAAGGTAGTTTTACATTTTTTCCATTATAAAATAATTTGTCATAAAATTTTTGGATAACATTGAAGGGGTAATAACTCCAATCATAACACTGTTAACACTTTGATATGTTTCTTTCTGGCATTTAAAAGTTATATGTGTATATATGTATATATACATATACACACACATACACATATGTTTTTCTAAATTAAAGTGATTTGGTATTATTGTTCTTCCAGTTTAAAAGTTATGCCTGCTTATTAAGAGAGCTGGGAAAATAAAGACCAGCACAAAGGGAAAAAAACAAAAATCATTCATAATAAACAACCAAAGATAACCACAATTAAAATTTGATGTATATCCTTCTTGTATTTCTCATTAATATATGCAAACACTCTTCTCTACTAAAATAATGCCATAGTTAAAACTATTTGATGCCTTGTATTTTTCATTTGCAATATATTATCAGTGTCTTATCATGTTAATAAATAGTCTTATCTATACTTTTTCAGTGTTATATAGAATATGAACATATCTAAGTATGTTTATTTAGCATACCTACTTAACCATCTCCCTGTCACTGGACGTTGAAAGTGTTTCTGATTTTTTACCATTATAGGTAATCCCATAGTTAATATCTTTGTCCATACATCTTTCCATGCCATCTATGATTATTTCCTTAGGAATAGATTCCTAGAAGTGGAATAGCTGGGTCCAAGGGTATGTACATCTTAATGCTTTTGATAAATAAAGGTGTCAAATTTTAAGCTAATCACTTGTATATTCTGTCTTGTATTGCTGTCTAATTGTTTATTGTGTCTGTCTGTTTCCCTAATTAGAACATAAGCTTCTCGAGAGTGAGGGATGTTTCTTAACACATCTCATGTATCCTTTGGCTGTGTGGACTCAGGAGCCATCAACACGTAGCTTCTTGATTTAAAGTAGTGGTTCTCTGGACTTTTGGACATCACAAACATCTAAGTTAAAAATATATATATATACACACACTTTTTTTTTTTTTTTTTTTTTTTTGACAGGCAGAATGGACAGTGAGAGAGAGAGAGACAGAGAGAAAGGTCTTCCTTTGCCGTTGGTTCACCCTCCAATGGCCACCACGGAGCCAGGTGCTTATCCTGGTTTCCAAGAGGCAGGGCCCAAGGACTTGGGCCATCCTCCACTGCACTCCTGGGCCACAGCAGAGAGTTGGCCTGGAAGAGGGGCAACCAGGACAGAATCTGGTGCCCCTACCGGGATTAGAACCCGGTGTGCCGGCGCCGCAGGGCGGAGGATTAGCCTATTGAGCCACGGCGCCGGCCAATATATACACACTTTTTAAAGGGTAGACACAGGCTTGCAAATTTTCTTTTTTTCATGAAAGGATATTTAGAAACACAGCCAACTACCATTTCCTATTTCACCATCTCATAAAATAAAGAATATGTGACAATAAAAGATTCTAATCTTATTTTAAAAAAAAGAGTAGTAGGCCTTTGAATAGAATGTTTTTGTTTTTTGAAAAACTTTCTACCTTGTCTGTATTTTTCTCATTTTATGTTGGACTGCTGCATCTCCACCTTAGCCTGGCATCATTTGGGAACCACTGATTTAAAAGACATAGAGAATTTAAAGATAAATTTTCTTGCAAGATGAATAATTTTCACCTTGCCCATGAATCTGTTTTGTCCATGCATTAAGGACACATGTGGAAGTAATGTCATCGCGTTACATAGAATTTGTGTATGTGTACACATTCTATAGTATGTGAACCGGACCATGGTGATGAACATCTGAATGTATTTCCAGTTGCCAAAAATGGAAACTGTTCTCTTTCTGGGCATTGGAGACAGGGTAAGTGGGCAGGATCTAGACTCTGAAGACCTGGGCTTGAATCCTGGCTGTGGCATCAAGTCAGTTTTCCCTTAGTTTCCTTACTTCTAAAATTATGATGATAATATCTTCTTCAAAGTGTTTTTATAGCCCCTGTTACAGTTACTTGACTGTGATGTAATTGGTTGCTTTCACATCTGCCTTCCTCACAAAGCCATGAGCTCTCTTAGGGAAGAAGTCATTGTTCTTTTGCAACCTTAGATCCTAGCCTAGGGCCCAGGCATAGCAGGTGATTAATCAAATGACTTGTTGAATCAATAGAGGGTTGTTGGGAGAATCATAAGGTTATATATGTGGAAGTCCTGTGTAAGCTTTAAACTTAGCTCTGCAAATGTTAATTGCTTTTATTTTATTCCAAGAGCCATCTCTGAGAGCCATCCAAACTTTGTGAAGACAGAAAATTATCTCATTTAAAAGTTTGTTAAATGCATTGCATTTTTCATCTGTTTTATAAGAAAGCAAATTTTTTAATTGGGGTTAATGTGGAGCCAGTTTGCTAACTGGGAAGGCTGATGAACGCTCTCTGCATGGAAGTGCCAAAATAGTAAATGTTTGTTTTATTTGGCTGTTGGCATATAATTTTAAGAATAGGAAGTTCAGCTTATTTCCTGTTTAAAGAGTGGTACCCACTGGCTTATCCTCTTAGTCATATAACTGATAAAGGAAGGATGATCCCACTGGCTTACCTCTTAGTCATATAACTGATAAAGGAAGGATGTTAAACCCTGAAGGGAACAGGCGTCTGTGATTTGCCCAGTTGGTTCTGGTCCGAGCTCCTTGTTTTTGGCTCTCACTGACTTAGAAAATGTCGTCATTTTTAATGTGTTTGTAAAGCTCTTGATGAATTTTAGCCACAAGATGGCATTGGTGATTGTTGAGTGCCCATAGTATTGAATCAGAATTAAAAAAAAAAAGGGCACACAATTGTTTGTATTCTTTTGGGTTAAAAAGTTGAAAAGCTTCATCACTGTTTATGTATAAATTTTAATTTTTGCTTCCAAAACAGAGTTAAATGCTACTTTATGTCATTTCTTTCTGTATTCAAGTATTGTTTTGTTTCCTGTTTTTCTGTCTTTATAACTACAGTAACTTTGTATTATTTGCCATGTGTTGTATGTGTCTGACTTACTGCTGATAATTGTGGTAACAGGTAAGAAGAAAATACGATGGGACCCAGTTAGGAGGCGCTTCATTCAGTCCTGTCCCATCATAAGGATCCCTAACAGGTTTTTGAGAGGTGGGTGACAACTAGCAAGAGATCTGTGCTTCATGTGGGTTACAGAGAACTTTGAATGAATTTTCTAAACATGAAACTCTACTTTCTTAAAACTGTGTAGGCAGCTAAAATTGGAATAATGAAAGTCTAGAACTTAATTTTAAATCTCTGTTTCATCTTGACCATTACTGGAATTATAATTACAAGTTTTGGGGAGTTAGACTCATGTAATGTGTGTCAGATGGTAGAGGCAAATCATCTCACGGTCGTCAGTGGTATTCCACCCTAACTTTAGTCAAAAGGCCTTTGAGGAAATAATTTGTAAACTATGGGTATGGAAAGAATTTTCTAAATGTGATTCTAACGGAGAAATAAAAGATTAATTTATGTGATAGTATAAAATAAAAAGCCTCTTATGTCAAGTACCACAAATAAAAAGATAAATAAAAAAGTAAAATACTTATAACAAATGTTTAATGTCATGAATATATAAAGAGCTCTTATAAGTCACTAGTTTAAAACCAGATGCCTCCTAGAAGAACAGGTAGAAGGATATGAATGATCAATTTGTAAAACAATATAAATAAATAAATACGAACAAATACTTATTTTTACTGTTGTTATATACATGGCAATTAAAGAATGAAGATATTTTCACACATTAAATTGGCAGAGGCTCAGCTTAAGAATGGCCATTGTTGGTGGGAAGAAGAAACGTGTGCATTGGAAGGAAGCGTACGTTATTTTACACAAGTTTTCTGGGTTCAGTGTCAAAAACCCTAAAAATGTTCATACCCTTTGACCTAGCAATTACTACTTTCAGAAATGTTGCATTCCTGTTACTTGTGATTTCGTACATCAAACATACTGTATACTAAAAACAGAAAATGTGAGAAGAGTGTTGAAAACTCTGCTCCACATTGTTTTTGTAGATAGAACATTGTCAGGAAAACATTCTTAATGTTGCAGTTTAGACTGTACTCAATTATTTATAATCCAGTATATTGATTTTAATGGAAGAATTTTTTAAAAAACCTAGCTTGAAAATCCTATAGCTGATACAGATTTTTCCATGTCTAGGGCATAACCTATTTTTAGCCACCACTTTGGAGCACACAAAGCATAAAATCAAGCCTCAGTCGGTCAACATAAGATAAGTAGGGTCATGTGCCATCTTTTAACATAAATAAGTAATTTTATTGACAAAAATTGAGAGTTTTATGTAACAACAACAACAAAAAACCATTGTACATGTGTGACCAAGCAGGCATTTCTAATTCTGTAATATTTTTTTCATTTATAAATTAGAATGATAATTTATTGATTTACAGTGAGAAACCTAACATGGGCTGAGTAAAGCATAAATTAAGGTTTATTCTATAATGTCTACTAAACAAGCATAATTAAGAAATTATTTAATCAGGATTTATAATTATATAAAAACATAAACAAATGGAGTAGTGAAATAATTGGTTGTATCTAGATGGTGGCATTGTACAGTCTGTTTTTTGGTTTTAATTGTGGGAAAAAAAGGATTGCACAGGTAAGTCACGTTCCATTGGTTTTTGTAGGCCCTCATCGGCTCAAACAGTGGCTGAGAGAGGTGCGGTCCGCGGTGAGAAGGGCAAGGTGGGAGTGCACTGCCCACCAGCAGGGTCAAGGTCACCGCGGCCTCCAGTAGCGCATTGTCCTTCTCTTGGCTCTCACCTTCTTTGAGCTGTGTGTGGTATCTGATGCGGATGACCCCTGTACCTTCTTGGACTTCTCTCCTCTTCTGGGTTGTTCTAATGTACAGTCTTGGATGTCTCCTTCCTGCCTCTGCTCATTCCGTGCCCTTCCCCACTCGAGACAGGTGCTGCTGCCTTGCTGTCCCCCTTCCCATGGTCTCCTTTATGTGTCGTCCACTCCCACGGCTGAACTATCTTCGTTTGTTCGTTTGTTCATGCTTCCATTCCTTTAGTATTTCTTGATTGCGTCCTACATGCCAGGCACTGTGCTAGCTTGATGGTCTAGACAATAGAACATGAGGCGAGCAGACAGTTACAGCATAACTTGACTGTAAGTCCTCGTGATGAGGGTCCTGACGGGGTGGTGTGACATGGGGCGCACGGGGAGGAGGGTGAGAAAGGAGTGGCGTGAGGATGGCTTTTCAGAAAGGGAGGGAGGGTGGGGACAGACAGCTTGAGTAAAGTATTTAGGCCAAACAAGGACGCGTTGCTGTCAGAGATCCATGGGGTGGGATGAAGACGGACAGTAGAAGCCAGAGAGGGCTCTGGCCAAGTGGGGCACCCCTCAAGGGGAGTTTCAGGATCAGATCTGGTTCTCTAGCTGGTGAAGAGATTTAACTGAAAAACTGTTAGGAGATTATTATAATTAGCAAGCTGAGAAGTGTTAGAGACTTGAAGCTAAGTTATTTTCAGGGAAATCTTCTCCTATAATGCTCAGTTGTTTTCAGGGAGACTTGCTTGGCAAGCCCGTCCCTCTTGCTTCTGATGGCACCCTCTTTCCTGCCTGGATCACAGCACTCACTGGTAGTTTGTGTGCTTGCCCTTTCGTCCCGTTAGACTGTGAGCTGTGTCAGGACTGGGACAGTGGGGTGGGTAGTGCCTTCATTTCTTCTATCCCCAGTGCCCATGCAGATACATCAGATGTATTTGAGTTGAATTGAATTATTGAAAAGGCCACTGGCAAGGAATAGGATGGGATTAAAAAGTTTAGTGTGCTCTCAGTTTCTCTCTGGTGGTAGTGGGAGTGAACTCAAATGATTGAGTATGGTGTAGTGAAAACGATACTGTAGCAGTGAATAAAATTTCACTCATAAAATGGTGGTCTGAGCACACCCATCACCTTCCTCTGTTCCTCAGATATTGAAAATGCCAAAGTAGACGAAAGACAGGTAACAAGTCAGTATTTTTAAGAAACAGAATAGGGAGGCTTGGAACCAGCTTACCCGCAGCTGAATTCAAGCTCTGCTCTTTACCACGTGTGTGGCCTTGGGCAGTTGCTGGGTTTTTTGTTTGTTGGTTTGTTTTGCTTCAGTTTCCTAATCTGTAAAATTAGGATGATGGTGCCTAACCCCTAGAATTACTGTGAAGACCAAGACCAAGAGAGATAATATATGTAACACACTTAGGAGAGTTTTTCACGTTTAACCAATGTTGAATGGATGTTAGCTGCTATCATTTTTGTTGTTATAATGCCAGAAATTTTGAGGACTTCCAGGTTATCAAAACCAATTGGAATTGTTTTGATTGAGAAACCAGTACAGAATTCAGGGCAGTTCAAAACGGGTACAGCTGCCGCATGACGGAAGTCCGAGGATGTCTTCATAGGGCTGAAACTTTTAGCGGAAGTCTGCAAGTTTAGGAAGATGGGGGCAGGTCTGGGGGGAAGTGGAGTGTCCGGGCAAGTCATTGAAGAACCGCCTTCCAAACAGTTACTTCTACCAGTCTCTCCCTCCCTCCATACCCAGAGCTCTCGCAAGGGCATTAGATCTCAGAGTGACGCCAGGAGAACAGCTCGGCAAGCAAAGTAGAGGATTTGGTTTGGGGAGTTTGGGCAGGCATGGTGAGCGTGGACTGGGGTTGGAGAAAGAGCCCACAGAACAGGGCCTTGGGCGCTGGGCCTCACAGTAGGTTGGAGGAGGAGAGTGAAATGGGGGCAGAAAGAAAGGGTGTTCCATCGAGGAGTGGTGCCCAGAAAAGGGCTATGCCTGCCATCTGTCTTCGTCCTGAGGCCGGGTCGTGTATGGAGAATAGAGGTTTGTTTAGCTCACAGTTCTGAAGTTACAGAGCATGCATCGGCATCTGTGTGGCTTCTGCTGAGGGCCCCGTGCTGTGTCGTGCGTGCCGTGGTGGGGAAACAGAGAGGGGAACTGGGCATGTGCAGAAGACCCTGTGTGCAGGAAAGGAGGCCGAGAAGCTTTGGTACCTCCCCCCACGGTGACCCCCCCCCCCAGACCAAGCCACTCTGGAGAAGAACTGACCCAGTCCCTCAGAAGGACCTGGATCCACAATGAGGGCAGTGCCTGATCACCCCCCGCTGACCTCTCTCAGTTCCTGCCGCCTCTCAGCACGTTACACTGGGACCAAGCTTCCAGCAGACGAGCCATATCCGAATTGTAGCAGGTCATGGTACCATAGTAACTGCCTTACTTGGCAGTAATACAGTCAATGTGCTCCCCCACACTTTCAAAGGGAAACCTGTGTGTCAGTGTACCGCTGACCTGCAGAGCCACGGGCCAGTCGGCCTCCCACTGGGAGGTTTTGGAGACAGATTGGTCCCACTGGTGAGGAATTACGCGCAGATGCAGCCCTTTGCTTACTGATGCGATTAGTGATCAGGGCTCCCAGGACATCTGAGGAAAGCCAGGCCTGGAAGAGTGTCACTGAGATGAGTAGCAGCCAGCACCCCGGCTGCCCGTGCTGGAGACGGAGGTAATGAGGAGGTGGAGAGGAACTCCAGGAAGTTCAAAACACCAGACGGAGCTGACAGTGAACTGCATCCATGGATTTGAAACCAGCTGCCTGGAGAAAAAGCAATAGTTGATGAATTAGTTAGGCTTTTTTATTATTATTATTATTATTATTGAAGTATGGATTCCTGAAATAAAAAACTCAGTTGTAGGGTTAAACAATAGACTTAAGACAAGTTATCTTTCATGAAAATAGAGGAAAATATGTAGACCATAAAGTGAGTAAAACAACGGATAGAAGGGAGTTTATACTTTGACAGCTCTAAGTGATCCAGTATTCATTTCATAAGAGCTCCAGAGGGAGCGGTCAGACGATGGAAGAGAGAAAAAGGAAGTAAAGGATATTTCTCTTACTGAAGACTGAGTTTTCAGGTATAAAAGGGCATCAAGAGCCAAGCAGAAAAAAATGTAAAAACAAAACAACAAAAGGCCTCTTTCCAGCACGTTACTGAGACACTTTCTGATTGCAGTAGACAGCGAGTTCCATGGAGAGACGCTTGTGTTGGGCAGCTCACCTGCACTGATGCTGCTGGAAGATAAATGCCTT